CTCAATGAAATTGAGTGTGATACCCCTGGTCTAAATAGAATAGAATAGAATAGAATAGAATAGAATAGAATAGAATAGAATAGAATAGAATAGAATAACAGAGTTGGAAGGGACCTTGGAGGTCTTCTAGTCCAACCCCCTGCTTAGGCAGGAAACCCTACACCACTTCAGACAAATGGTTATTCAAGCTCCTCTTAAAGACTTCCAGTGTTGGAGCATTTGCAACTTCTGGACGGAAGCTGTTCCACTGATTAATTCTTCTAACTGTCAGGAAATTTCTCCTTAGTTCTAAGTTCCTTCTCTCCTTGGTTAGTTTCCATCCATTGCTTCTTGTCCTGCCCTCAGGTGCTTTGGAGAATAGCTTTGACTCCCTCTTCTTTGTGGCAACCCCTGAGATATTGGAACACAGCTATCATGTCCCCCTTCTTTTCATCAAACTAGACATACTGGGTAGTGCTGTAGACTTTTCCAAAGCAAACTGCAGGTCTAGTGAAAATGCCCCCCCTCAATGCCATGAAGAATGTGTAGCCCCACATTCATTTGGGATATCTAGGCGAATGTTGGCTAGTAAGAGCTACAGGTTGCAGGAATGTTGTAGCCACATTTTCTGGGTCCTTCAGGTACGATGGGCTCTGCCTGTATTTTCTTAGAGCTTCTGTTGCCTGCAGTTGGCAACTAGGAACCATAAAGTAAAAATATGTATGTGTGGAGTACGTGCGTGTCTGGATTTCCTCATAAAGGCTCTGCTTCCTTAGGATGGCTTAAGTGTTGTGCTTGAGAAGTGCAAAGCCGAACTGACAAACTGTGGTCTGTAAGCTCTTTTCTGTATACTCCAAGCTGTATAGCTCTAAGCACCTGCTGTGGCTGCTGTTGAACATCAAGAGACATGTTTTTAGCTATTCTGGTGACGGAAATGCAGAAAAGAAAAAAAGAAAAAAAAAGAGGAGTTTACATTCTAACTAGCTTTCCATGAATGCCTCCAGTACCTCCAAATCTAAGGAAAAATCCAAACACCCTGGCCTCACCAAACAGATGACATGATCATACCCATTTTGCAGTATTGCCCTGCCAGGCTGAGACCTCTGTGCTTCTCCCACTTTAATAAAGTGTGACTCTTGGCCAGCGCTGGGGTAGAGGTACTTCAGATTCCTTTGCAGGCTGTGCTATAATTCATGCTATCAATTGCTCATCCTTCCAGTAATTATTAATTACTAGGGCTGGTAACCTGGTATTGCCCGGGTATTTATTTATAGGGGGAAAATGTCCAAACCAAAGGTAATTTCTAATGTTGGATTTTCGCCTTTACTAGAGGGAACCCCTTTGTGGAGTACTGTGAAGCCGTTGCCATGGCAACTCCACTGCACTGTACAGTAGAAGTCATTTTATGGCAGTACAATAGAAACCATTTTAAGGCACAACAGGCTGTATCTTACCACCACAGTATTTATTTCCAGAGAGTAAGTCACCTGTGTACCAAGTTTGGTTGAAATTGCTTGAGGTGTTCCAGAGTTGTGCTGGAACACACACACACACACACACACACACACACACACACCACACACACACCACACACACACCACACACACACACAGACACAGACACAGACACACACAAGCACAAAATAATAATGTCCTTTTCTTTTTTACTGATTGCAGTGTGTCCGTGATGGCGAGTGTGCTGTCCAGGAGGCTGGGGAAACGGTCGCTGTTGGGTGCCCGCATTTCTGCACCCCCTTTGCTGGGGGATGGGATGCTGATGACAGCTCAGGTTCATCCCCTGCAGCCAGAACACACCAGAGCATCTTCACATCAGAGCATCCTTTCATATGAGGATGGACACTTCAAGGAACATGTTGAAGCCTCTGGCAATCAGAACCAAAATTGGCCAGTGCTACAACCTGGCCAAAAGGTACTGAATTTGGTGCTGATGACTATAAACCACCTTTCATCTAAAAAATGCTGGTATTAAAAAGAAACACAATTCTGTAATAACAAGCCATGCCGGTTCATTCGGTCAGCAAGTGAGAAAATAATTTTATTTAGGGAAAAAAAAGTAAAATGCTTAGGGAAACAAAAAAATTGGTTTGAGGCAGAAAAATGAGCAGGATTGCTATTGACACCAATTTCAACACCATTGAGACATATTCCAGAGTTAGGGGGTCCATCATGGAGAATTCTGCCTCTTTTATTATGTGTAAAATATTTCTTAGGCTGAAGGTAATTGGATAAAGTCTTAACCAAGGAACAAATAATGAAAGACTTGCTGTTTCATATATTTTGATTTCTAGCCATTAAATTGGACTTAGAAATTAAATAGGAAACTAATTTAATTCCTTAAACCTTGGGGTAGATCAGTTTTTCCTACTTTGGCATCCTCTAGATATGTTTAGACTACAACTCCCAGAATTCCCTAGGTTGGAGAAAGCATCTCAAGAGTTTTACAACTGAAATTCTAGTAGCCAAATTCTTCATGAGCTGAAGTTAATGAAGTGGTTTCAAGGGCAGCAGCCACACAACAAATCAGTGGGTGTTATGGACTTCTTTCGTTGAGCTAATATTTACAGATGTATCTGCAAATATTAAAAAAAATCAGGTTTTTTTTGTGGGGAAGGAAACTATTTTATTTCTGTACCAACAAACATTTCATGTCAGGCTTCACAGTTTATTTGCACTGCCACAAGATGCCCATCCTGTCTCACTGCTGTGTAAATAGCTCAACCCCATCACATCACTTTGGCTATACGGGCTGAGGCAATGTGAATTACAGGTAGACATATTTGAAGGAAGTTAATCACATCTGTTCTAAGCCAATGATGTCAAAAGTTGAGTTAGTCTTTATTTCCAGTCTTCCTATGTTACTTGCACCCAGCCGGTATATTATAGATAGTTCAAAACACCAGACTAGAATCCAGGAACTGGGAGTGCAAAGGCAGTTAGTTGACCTTGGTCCAGTCTCCCTCCTCCCCTCTCTCTCCCTCTTCTCCCTCCTTCCCTCTATCTCTCTTTCTCTCTAGCAGACCTAGGAAGAAGAAGGCAATGGCAAACCGCTTCTAAAAATCTTGCTGAGGAAACTGCAAGGATTTGTCCAAGCAGTTGCCAGGAATCAACACTAATTTGAAGGCACAAATGAATAAATATAAATAATCTGCATTCTCTTGTCGGTATATAAATTGTTTTAAATGCATTTAGAATATCTCCCTAAACCATATAAAATAATGTAACAATGACAGCATGTAGTTCCCACTTGCACTATTTTGAACGCTCAAGCATGGAGGTGAATTGAACTATATGTTTGGCTTATGACTAAATTATAACAATGCATTCTTTATTTCCAGGGGAAGGGTATTTCAAAGAATGGGTGTAAGAGATGAGAGACCCTGTTCTCGATTGATACCCCATTTATAGATCTGATATGATACTGTGTAGAAATAATGGACAGCGATTTTGCACTTTTGTAAATGAATCAAATGGAACAGGCTATTCTTACTATGCTTTATTCATTCGATATCCCAAAAGATAAAGGAAAAGTTATAGTGTCACGTGTCACCGGGGATTTAATGTACTCTAAAATTGCAGATTTAGCTGCACATGGTAGAATTTCCAATGAATTTCTATATATTTAAGAACTTGATTTCATATCGAGTGATGCATGTGATATTTGGAAAAAAAGGGTTACTTAAAATGTGGCTTGTTATCTCCTTTCCTTGGGGCTAATTTCCTGTTTCTTTTGTTAAATGTCAAGGACAGGTTGCTTTTCCAAATGGAAAATACTGACTGGCAGTGATGGGCACCAAGCCCAGCCTTTCTGGACGGTCCAGCTTGGGGAAGGTTGGGTTAAAAAAGTGTGAAATTAAGGTAACATTAGGGGACGACGACACAGAGAGAAACGTTGGGTGGCATTGCGGAAGAAGAGGAAATGTGAAGAAATCCTATTGTGAATTTCTATAAAAATAATTCTGGTTCCAAGTCTTTTGCTGGAGTTAGTGGACTATAAAAAGAATGCATTCAAAACCACTCATCCACAGACTCAGCATGACCAGTGCCTAAAAGTATTTGGGAGCTTTAGGAAACAAAAATATATCCTCAAAAGCTGACCAAATGAAAATAGGCCTTCCCCTCAGCTAGTAAATGCCAGCATTGTTTTGCTTAGGTGAGTTGCTATTTCGGGCAGTGACACACTGTTTTGGGGGTTGCATTTAATAGTTGGCTTGCTAGAAACTTCCCCCCTGAAGGAGGCAGGTATGAGGTGCAAAAATTAATGCGTATTTATTACATAGGTGAATATATTACTTACACTCGTTTAGCTCACTGTAATCATCAGTTAAATCAAATTAAACTAAATACATAATTGATTGCTCCCTATACACTTCTCGTCTCATATTAAAAATAAAGTTGGAGACAATTTGGAGGGGCTTTGGGGGAATCTAAGACTTTGGGGATACACAGCTAGTGAAATTCAGCAGGTTCTGACAGGTTCTGGAGAACCGGTAGTGGAAATTTTGAGTAGTTCAGAGAACCAGCAAATACCACTTCTGGCTGGCCCCAGAGTGCAGAGGGAATGGAGATTTTGCGGTATCATTCCCCTGTAGTAGGGTGGGAATGGGGATTTTGCAGTATCCTTCCCCTGCCACTCCCACCAAGCCTCGCCCACAGAACCGGTAGTAAATGTTACCACTGGTACATATGGTCTGATTCAGAAGGTGCCACAACAGCTTTCAGGATTGTGTGGGTGGATTCTGCAAAGTCCCAGCTGCACATCACCCAAGGCTAAGCAAAACAAACAGTTGAACCAACCAGCAAACTTTGCCTGAAATATGAACAGACCTCCCCTTGGGAGTTCTACCATTGGAGTTGTTCCCACTCCTTCTGCAAGTGGGTGATGTTCAATAGCAGCCTTGCAGATGGAGGTTGTTACAATGGGTATCTGGTGCCCTCCTTATCTGCTGATCACTGGTCCTTAACTTATGACCACAATCAGAAGCGGAATTTCCATTCGTAAGCAAGGCTGTTGTTAAGAGAGTTGGGTCCAATTTTACAACCTTTTTTTTGCCACGATTGATAAATGAATTACTTAACAATGAATTATTTCATTGTTGTTAAGTAAATCATGCCATCATTAAGCAACTCCAGCTTCTACCATTAACACACAGGCAATCCTCGACCTAACAACATTTCATTTACGACTGTTCAAAATTATAGCAGCGCTGAAAAAAGTGACATATGACCGTTTTTTCACACAACCATTGCACCATTCCCATGGTTACATAATCAAAATCCGGACACTTGACAGTGTATTTATGACAGTTGCCATATCCCAGGGGTGGGGTGGGGTGGGGTTCATGTCATCCCCTTTTGTGACCTTCTGACAAGCAAAGTCAATGGGGAAGCCAGATTTGTTTAACAACCGTGTTGCTAACTTTGACAACTGCAGGGATTCACTTAACAAATGTGGTCAGAAAGGTCGTAAAATGGGGACAAAATTCACTTAATTTTGTCTCTGTTTAGCAACGGAAATTTGGGGCTCAGGTGTGGTCGTAAGTCAAGGACTAGGTGTAGTTAGAAACCAACTGGGAAGGTCGGAAATGGTGATCACATAATCACATGCTCTAGCCCAGTGTTTCTCAACCTTGGCAACTTGAAGATGTCCGGACTTCAACTCCCAGAATTCCCTAGCCAGCATTCGCTGGCTGGGGAATTCTGGGAGTTGAAGTCCGGACATCTTCAAGTTGCCAAGGTTGAGAAACACTGCTCTATCCCTTGTTAATAGTTTGTTAACAGTTTGCCAAAAGCCCCAAATTTGGTCATGTTACTGTGGGGATTTTGCAACAGTTGTACAGTGAGTGTGAGTATTGCTCATAAATCTCTCTCTCTCTCTTTTTTTTGCTTTACAACACTCTGGGCAGTTTACGATATTAGCATTATTTGCATATTGCCCACAACAATCCGGGTCCTCATTTTACTGACCACAGAAGGATGGAAACCTGAGTCATTCTTGAGCCCTGTCAGGATCGAATTCTAGGCTGTGGGCAGAGTTTGCCTGAAGTACTGCACTTAACCACTGCGCCACGAGGAGTCTTATAATAGATTTTGAAAGTGGATGGAAGTTGAACATTAACCTATTCATGAATACATTTTCATTGCATTAGATCTAACTGCAGCATTTTAACCTGCATACATAAAGTGCTCTACATCCTCTCTCATGTCAATTGATGCCTAACCTAAGAAGGAATTAGGACAGAGGCGGGCAACTACCGCAACTTTACAATCTGGGGACTTCAGTTCCCAGAATTCCTGAGCCAGTCAGCCATGGTTGGCTCAGGAATTCTGGGAGTTGAAGTACACAGTTCATAAAGTTGCCAAAGTTGCTCACCCGAATTAGGAAGTATGTGGGCAAACTCCCTCCCTTCCTACACACACAGTCACAGATTCCCACAGAAATTTAGAGCAGAAAGAAGCAGAGGCTAAGTAATGATTCTAGGGAGTTGTCAAGAGCTCTACAGGGCTGCATGAGGCTACCACACACAGGTTGTACACAACTGTGACTTAATGCATATATTTTTTAATGGAGCGTTACAGATCCCGTCACTCCAGTTTTTCAGAACAGTAGGGTCAACTGCAGCTTCCCCAGTTTTTCCATATAGTAATTAGGATCCCTCTATAAATAACACCCCCAGGAATAACTTAACTCAAAGAGTGCCCCTCTTAGCCTGGATAAAATTACATACAAAAATAGACTTTAGGAAGTTAAGCAGCAAAAGGGAAAGACCTTTTTTCCATGGACTACCCAAGCATAGGCTAGTCATTCCCTTCCTGACTCTCCTAGCCAGATGAACTGCGCTGTCTTACTAGATTGCATGTGCTTTTGCATGCGCAGAGGAATGGTTGGAGAGATTTCATGAGTTTTTTTGCTTATTCACCTATTCTGACACTCTTTGAGAGATTTCACAAAGCCTGATGGAAAGTCAGCTGACAATCACAGTGTGTCGCTTTCACTTAGAAGTTGAACCAGAGTGCAAAATACATCACATGCTGGTCATGTAGATATGGCTTCAGAGCACATACTGTATCTCTGTGAAAGAAAGCTGTGCCTTTCCTGTTGTTCAGGGATCTGGAAATGCATTTTGGAAGCCCTCCCATTATAAGGCATCAACACTCTGAATTTGTTTCAAAATGACATTTAGTGTAGTATCTTCTCTTTAACAATGGTCAGCCAGTTGCTTTACAACAGTGGTTCCCAAACTTGGCAACTTTAAGACTTGTGGACTTCAACTCCCAGAATTCTCCAGCTAGCTCTTCTGGCTGGAGAACTCTGGGAGTTGAAGTCCACAAGTCTTAAAGTTGCCAAGTTTGGGAAACACTGCTTTACAACATGGTCCCCAACCTTTTGGGCATCAGGGACCGGTTCTGTAGAGAGACGTTTTTCCGCAGACCGGAGGGGGCGTGGTTTCATGTGCTGCCTGCATCCAGCAGATGGGGCTTCGCTTGTTTCTGCAGCCCGGTTTCTGGCATGCCCTGTACCAGTGCCAGTCCATAGACCCCTGCTTTACAAGCTTGAGCACCATAGCTACTCCTGTTCATTGCCTCTGAACATAGGGTGCTATTGGTGGCACAGCGGTTAGCATGCAGTACTGCAGGCTACTTCTGCTGATTGTCAGTTGTCTGCAATTTGGCAGTTCGAATCTCACCAGGCGCAAGGTTGATTCAGCTTTCCATCCTTCCGAGGTCAATAAAATGAGGACTCAAATTGTTGGGGGCAATATGCTGACTCCGTAAACCGCTTAGGGCTGTAAAGCACTGTGAAGCGGTATATAAGTCTAAGTGCTATTGCTATTTGAACACTTGGCTCATAGTTATTGGTAGGTTTGGCTTTGGTTTGTTTGTTTATGTTAGGAAAAATGGAAACAAGGACAATAAAACAGGTTAACTCATTTGGAGACCAGAATAACCATTATGACTGATAGTGGCTTTTCTTCCTACAGGTATACGTCTTTTACAATGGGCAAGAAAGTGCTGGGCTGGTGGAGTACCATGACCCGGTCAGTCACGAAGTGAAGGTGTTGCTCCCAGAAAAAGGTTTTTATGTCACTAGGAAAGATGACGAAGTGAGACTGGCTGAAGTTATGATGTCACCTCTCCCCAAACTGGAGATGGATCTTGGAACCCCTACAACAATGGATTATAGCCCGGTTCCTGTGGTGATGGAGCATTGCACCTCTGCAGCAGACATTGCTGTGACATCTGCTTTGAGATCGGTTTCTAGGAGTATTGATGTACCAAAAAGGTGGGTGGTTTGGAATGCCCATTTGGCTGTAGTTATGCAATATTGCATAACGATTCCATAATAACTTAGGGATTTTTCCCCCCTTGGCTGAAACAAAATGTGGAAAGCAGTCCCCCCCCCCCTGCTGTTTTCTTTCCCTTTCATTTTATTAGGTTGAAAGCACAAAGGCAAATACAGCTTTGTTTGCACTTAATCTTACATAAGCTACTCTAGGAGCCTTTTCAGCTGAAGGGTAGGTAGATGGAGCTATTTATAATATTTTAAACAAATGAGTAAATAATTTGCAGCCACAAACTAAAATAACATATCTTGACTAAGATGCCTTGGCGATAATAGTTTATACCGTGATCTACCCATTAGGCTAGTGGAAACATGCTCCATGAAGGGTTGCCTTTGGAGATAACCCAGTAGCTGGACTGGGTGCAAATTACAACAGCAAGTTTGTTGTCAGGACAATTCCACTGGGGTATGGATCTTTCCTATTTTGAAGTTGCTATACTGGTTATTAGTAAGCTTTAGGGCCCAATTCAAAGTGCTGCCCATTACTTTTAAAGACTTTTACTGGTCAATATTGAGTTATAATATTGAGCCAGGGTGGCGCAGTGGTTAGGATGCAGTACTGCAGGCTACTTCTGCTGACTGCCAGTTGCCTGCAATTTGGCACTTCACATCTCACCAGGCTCAAAGTTGACTCAGCCTTCCATCCTTCCAAGGTGGGTAAATTGAGGACCCAGATTGTTGGGGGCAATATGCTGACTCTGTAAACCACCTAGAGAGGGCTGTAAAAGCACTGTAAAGTGGTATATAAGTCTAAATGCTATTGCTATTACTATAACCAGCAGCACCTTGCTAACGTAGAATTTGCCTCTTTGGTAGGGCAATATACACTGAGACCTTTTTCCATGCAGGGTATCTAAAGTATAGGCTATATGATAGACCTCCTTGGTAGTGGCCCCTCTTTATGGAACAAGCTACTCCTGGAAGGATAAGAGACCTTCATTCCTCTTTGTAAAAGCAAGTTTAAGTTGTATTATGTTTTGTTCAGGGCTTTTGGCCCTTAGTTATGTCTGAGCAGCCATTATAAGTGTTACCATTGTTATTAAGGTTTGGTTGTAATGATTGTATTTTAGAACTTCATTTGCTGCCTAGTATCTGTAGTGGCTGGGGCAGCCTATAAAAACTACAATAAAGTAAGTAAACAAATAAATCCTAAATGCTTCAAAATGAATTAAGAAAAAAAGAGAGATAACAACGCCAACAAAATTGATCTAAAATCTGCTACTGTCCAATTGAAACAATCATATTACATTTAGTTGTTAAGAAAAGTGTTAAGAGAAGAGAAAATGTAAATGCTGCCCATTAACGTATCTGGTACTGAAGTTGAAAGACTGCTTCAATATGTTTTGGCTTTCTGGTGTTTTAGGCGACTACTGCAATTTATTTTTCACTCCAGTGGGTAGAGTTAGATCTCTTCCACCTGTACACCTCCATTGAGCCCCAGCCCCTCCAAAATTATAATAGGCTCCTTATACAAATAAGAAATTCCAAAAAGTTTTCTGATCTGCTTGTTTTTAAAATTGACAGTGGAAGCTTTTCCTACTAACTTCAAGAGGTCTGCTTTTATGACCAGCAGGGAAGGGGTGGGGTTGTTCATGTTAAAAGCTCCTTTTAGAACAGGGGTCTCCAGCCTTGGCAACTTTAAGACTTGTGGACTTCAATTCCCAGAATTCCTCAGCCAGCTTTGCTTTGCTGGTTGACGAATTCTGGGAGTTGAAGTCCACAAATCTTAAAGTTGCCAAGGTTGGAGACCCCTGCTTTAGAAATCTTCATCCTGGAGGTGGAAGAGACAAGAGTCCAAATCTTGTACAGATCCAGAAGAAAAGACCTGGATTCCCTTGAATTTGTGGCTGTTAATGACTTGTTAAAAGTTGAGACTTTGATCAAGATGCTTTACCGGTTGCTTTTTAATGAATAACTTGTGCCCGAAGAAGAAAGTCTTGCAAGAAAACAAATGCAAGAGTCATGAAGCACTTGAGATGGAATTGTGGGATGAGCAATGTCTTCGCTAGGATAGTTGGTCTGTTGATTCTTTTGGGGGTGAACCATCTTATTCTTCCCCCTCCTTCTCTCATTGCAGGAAACCAGATGCTGCCGTAGAGATGGATGAGATGATGGCAGCAATGGTGTTAACCAGCTTATCCTGTAGCCCTGTGGTGCAGAGTCCCCCTAACAATGAGGCCAGCATCTCTAGTAAGTTTGACAGCAAAGGGCCTCTGATGGCCATTTGGCGTTCTGTGCCAAAACAAAACTGGTTTAGTGCATAGCTCGTGCAGTGCAAGCACTGAGACCGCAATGGCTTAGCTTTGATACAGCTTAGCTGTATGAGCCCAAATGGATGTTCTCCTATTGTTGTTGGAACACAAGTTCCACGATTCTACCATGTTGGCTGCTGATTCCGGATATGACAGTCCCGGCACATTTGGAGAATGCCAAGCGGGAAGTGATTATTTGCAACACAGACATTTCAGTATCTGCTTTTTCTTGAATACACATACCTGAAAATTTAGGCGATCCATAGAAATATCTTAGCATCTTTTTTTAAAACAATTTTTATTTGTTTTTTAAACAAGGACAAACAAACATAAAAAAAAAAAAATCTTCATTACAAATTGTAGAAAGTATGTCAGTTGGTTACGGTATTTCCATGCGTCTCTTCCATAGTCGCCACCTGCTTTTCATATCAAATCACATATTTTAAATTCACCTATATTCATGTATATCACAATTATTATATCTCAACCTTAATTTGACTATAATTGTTTTTACGTCCTTTTATATATATTCAAAATCTAGAATAGGATTATATGATAACATTCCATTAAATCATCCGAAAATCACCCAATCACAATACACCTTTATAACATATTCTAGATAAAGCTTTTAAACCTCCTCTCATAATCTCCATATATTGTTTATATAAAATTTCATATTATCAAACTAATATATCTATATGTATTGTTATCATTATTAATCATTATTTAACTATTGCTATTGTCGCTTCATCTTATACATACTACCAGTAAACTAAATTTAACTTAATTTTTATTATACATTTTCATTGCATCAACCTGTATCCCTCCAGCAATAGTATGGTCTTATATCTCTTGCCATTTGTAGCATTAATGTTCTAGTTACTTTCTTAATAAATCTTGTATAATCTCTTTTTTTGAGGCAACAATGTGGGCAATCCGGAACTGGAAAATTAGGCTAATGTGCACAGAGCAGTTTTCAGCTTATATCAGAAAACTTTCTGATTAAAAAAATAAGGCAAATGAGGCTGATTAAGAAAATTTCTATTAATTGTAGATTTGGGATATGAAATTTCTACCCTGAAATAATGATTGCAGGGGAGAATTCTGTGATGATGCTGATGGTATGGAATAGAGTCCTTTTTTTTAAAGAAGTCAAGAAAACTTCTGTATTTCAATTGGAAGTATTTTAATTCTGTTGAAAAGCCTTTTTTGGGGTAAGCGTTATTGATACTTGATGACTTTTAATTGTTTAGCCACTTTGCAACTCAATTTTGAAAGTTTTGTAAAAGAGAAAATGGCATAAACATAGGGAGTAGAATAGCATTAAGTGCCTTGGCCAACACAACAGACTGTTCAATTCAGCTTTTAGAGATCCAACTTTTCTGCTCTACTTCTTTGGTCTTTTGGGTTTCTTGGCTACCTGCCCCAAATCTGTGTTTCTAAAGCCCTCATTTCTTTCAAACTTTCTTCTTGTTAAACGGCTCACATATCTCTTTCTTATGTCCTGGACAAGCGTTTCTTAAAAGTAGGCCATACCCAGTTCAGATCCAGAATTTTGTTCCAGCTGTGAGGTTTAAGAATGAAGTGTACATCATAGTAAACCAAGTCCCCTCTTGATACCTTCTGGGTTCTACCAGATTTTCCTTCCCAGCTTTTCTCTCTTTGCCATGGTTTTACTAAACCTTTTTGCTTATCGATTCTGGCTCTCTTATGTACTTAGCATTCCACACGTTTCTGAACTCTTGAAAATCTGCTCCAACATTTCCTGACATAAAGTGAGTCTGTTAATATTGTCTGGCGAACTGTTTTAAGAGTTGCAGAATGGGGAATAAGGGAAGATGGCATATGGGGCACTTTTGCAGTTCTTGTTCCTTTTGATGAAGTATGCATGAGTAAGTTTCCCCGGAGATTGTTCCCGGTTATTGAGTTCTAGCACATAAGGAGAATATCTTCTTTGCTAGAACTGGCTTCTGACACTTCCTTGATGCTCACCTGTTTCTACTGCAAAACACATTGAAATGCTCTTCTTCCTTGGCTCCTAAGAAAATGAGAAAGGGATTTTTAGTATTATTTTTTATTATCTTTCTCTTGCTTCCAGTACAGGAAAAGGCTGACTTGAGGATATGTTCTGTGAGAACAGACGGAACAAACTTGGGATGTTCAGTCTGAAGAAAAGAAGACTTAGGGGAGGCATAATAACCAAGTTCGGACACTTAAAAGGAAGATGGCCATGAACGCTTCTCCATGGCTGCAGAAACCTGGCTCACAAATAATGTATATTAGTTGTAGCTATCTAGATTTCAGTTAAATACAAGGAAACACTTGATGGTAAAATTTATACAACAGGAAAGTAGCTCAAAGGTGGAAGTGGTCGTTTCTCCATCTCTAGAGAATTTTAAGATGTTGGATAGCTGCCTCGCAGTTTAATTAATCTTTGTGCTCATTGAGGGTTAGGGGTCTTCAGACTTTCTGGCTGGGGAATTCTGGAAGTTGAAGCCCGCCCACATACCTTCAAGCTGCTTATGGCCTCTTTCAACTCTGTGATTCTTTTATTGTCTTGAGTTGCTATTTCCATTTGCCATATCCTTTACCCCTTGGTCATGTTCCAAAGCCTGAAGATAAGGATTTAGTTTGCTATGATGTTTGAAAACCAGCACAACACTTGAGGGATATGTAGAGAAAATATACCAGAATATTGATATGCCACTATGAAATGAGGAAGGTGCAGTTTCCATAGGTAGGCTGCTGTTTGCACCTAGATGGGTAGCTTCACAATTCACCAGAAGGATGCCCACAGGTAGAGGCCAGTTCATAGACTCTGTTGGATATGTGTATATATACATTCCTGAATCTCCCATCCACCCCCAATTATTTAAACTTTTGTCCCTCTTTCTCTTTTTTTAAATCAATTTCTGAATTTATGGGGGTTAGAATCCAGGAGTGGGGGCTGTAAACTCAGCATGTTATATGTCAGAGGGAAGAAGTCAATACTGATTGGCTGATATTCTTGGATAGATTGTGGTTGTATTCAGGGAACCGAGCTAATTCTCTGGCAGATTTGTTTTGTGAGTTGCCAAACATGCCTTCTCCTTGTTTGATTTGTTTGAATTCCCAGCCTTGCCTGCAGTCCTAATACTTCCTGATGGTTCTCTACCAAAATACAAATAAGTTTAAAATACTTAGCTTTTTGAATGCTACCACCTATCTTGGCAGGGGTCTCCAAATGTAGGAATGGGATTGTGAGGACAGATTGGTAGGTGGGAAAAGGGTTGATTGATTGATTGATTGATTATATTTCTATGCCGCCCTTTTCCCCGAAGGGGACTCAGGGCGGCTCACAACCAAGTCAAGGGAGGAGGGGGTACAAATAAGGAATAAAAAAGACGAACAGAACAATACACAATTTAAAAGCACACAACAACCATACCATTCGAGGGGGGACAAAAGCTCATTAGCCCCAGGCCTCACCAGGGTACTGCCCCACCCCTCTTTCAGACCAAAAAATCTCTTTAAATATCCTTTTGCCTACTAAGTTTGATCCAAATTCAGAACTTTTCTAGCAGAATTGTCTGTGAGAAGCCTGTAAGTGGAAACCCCTGAGACTGGCTGTTTGTGGACAGCAGTAAAACTTTACCTATAATCCCTCCAGCACACCCAGCCATTGGAGAACTGCTAGAGAAACAGCTGGCTGGATTAGGAATGGTGTCTGCAGTCCACAGTGGAGGGAGGGGGTTGTGTAATCCAACCCCTGGCTGCCGCTTCCAGTGATGCTCAGACCTATTACGGGAGTAATAGGCACCAAGAAGAGCCAGTGTCTTTATATGGAGGCACTTCCCATAAGCCTCTTTGGACTTCTGTGTGTCTATTTAAAAATAGGAGCCTTCCAGCGTGGGAAATGCAGGTGCTTTGCAGTCAACTAGGACAGTCAGGCCTGTTGTATGTCTGGATGCTGGACTGGCAGTGAAGGTGTGAAAAGCCTTCTAAAATGGAGAAGAGGGGGAATATCCGGTGCCTTTTCCTGTCATTCCCTTCCCGATTCCAACTTCACAGAGAAATATTATATACGAAAATATAAATTCATCTTGATTGAATTCATTGAAACTTTGTCTCAGAAAATGCTTACAGGACTGTAGTCTCAGTAAGTGGCAGAAATTTGTAAACTTACTCTGAGTAAGCTAAGCAGGGTTGAGCCCGGTTAGGACTTTAAAGGGAAGCTGTCAGGGATGTAGGCTGGATTGGAAAATCCATACAACATCCTGGAAGTGGCAACCACTCTTGCTCTGTGGCCATGGAAACTGTAAGGCCATGCCCATACAGCAGTGGTGGGATTCAAATTTTTTTAAATACCGGTTCTGTGGATGTGGGTTAGTGGGCATGGCATGGGTTGGTGGGCGTGGCAGGGGAAGGATACTGTAAAATCTCTATTCCCTCTCCACTCCAGGGGAAGGTTACTGCAAAATCCCCATTTTTGTGTTTGTTTTAAAACGTCAAATGCTAACAGTAAAAAGCAGACTGCTGAATGAAAACACAAATTTTCTTACTCCACTGTGCTTCGGTTGGCATGCTCTTGGGAGGCAAGGAATTATTATTAACTAAGAAATTTAAGATAGCAGGTACAGTTTTCTTCCGGGTGATGTTCATACCAACTTTAATAAACTACAGTAGTTACATGAGAGGTTGTGATTGGTCTAAAAAACGCTATGGCCAAGTGGGATTTAAATTTACGGTTTCTTGTTTTGTCTGGCTTTTGAACTGTTGCAGAGATCAGAGCTTTCCATAGCCATTGAAAGAATAATTTAATCTAAACTAGTCCACCTCTTCCATTCAGTGCTATCTTCCTCCATCTATACCTATGTCAGGGATGGGGAACCATGGTCTTTGGCCAGGGGTGAAATCAACTTACCTTCGCTACTGGTTCACAAATGTGAATGGGCGGGCGCACGAGCTTCATTTGCGCGTGCTACCTCCGGGCATGAACAGAGCGTCAAAAATGGGATGTGATGATGTCCGGGAGGGTTGGCAGAGCCTCCTGCCACTAGCGCTACCGGTTCACCTGAACCGGTTGGAGCCCGTTGAATTTCACCACTGCCCTTGGCTCATGTTATAAAGGGTCATGGTTCCCCACTCCTGCTCCGTGTAAAAGTGATGAAGGTGCTAAACTGAATAGAGAATCAACTTAACTGCTCAAGAGCTCAATAAAAGCGTTATTCACCTGTTTATCCTCTCACTTTGTCTTCAGCATCCCAAGCAACCTGCGATGCCTGGAAAGAAAGTGGTGACATGTCAGATGGCGGGAGCAGTACCACAAGTGGGCACTGGAGTGGCATCTCCACCCCTTCTCCCCCACACTCAGAGGCCAGCCCCAAGTACTCGAACGAGGCCTTCAGTTCTCCTCGGGCTGATGATGGCTTTGAAACGGACTCGGATCCCTTTCTCTTTGAAGAGCCTGCTCCAAGGAAAAGGAAGGTACATAATATGACTATAAGACGGGGAACGAATTGTTCCATAGAAGGTGCAGGTCTAAATATAGATTTCTCCCTATCGGATCAAGAAAGAAAAGTATCTACGCAAGCCCGCTCTTCCAGAATTTGTATTTTTACTATCAGAGCTACATCATTACTGTTCCTATCCACTCCATTAATTCCTGTTTAATTATTTGTTAGGACTTTGTATGCTGGGTTTCCCTCAAGGTCTTATATTGTGTAGAGCCCTTTCCCTTCCAGTTTTTCACCTAAACAACATCCTATGAGTAGGTGGGCCTGAGAGACAATGTACCTTCCATGCCTGAGGTGGATCTGAACCTGGGACTTCCAAGTCCTAGTTTAACACCTTAATCATGATAATATCCTTGTTCTCATTTTTACTGGCAACTGTTTTAACTCTGATTGGCTAACAATGGAAATGTATTAATTTTGATGTGAATAGGACTTATTTTGATTTTTTTTNAGTGCGGCTTATGGTCGTGAAAATACGGTACTTTCAGCAAGTTTACAATTTTCACCTGAATAGGAAAAAAACCTTTCAAAGTTTTTTTTTTAGACACCCACCCATAACCATTTAAGGCCGAATAATAAAACCCAAATAAATCAAGAGTTTTTCTTGCAGGTTCGAAGCCGGTCTTTGAGTTTCAGTGAACAGCCACCCCCGCCTCCAGTGCTGAAATCCCAGCTGATTGTTGCATCCCCCCCAAGAGCACCCAGTGGCACTAGGTAAGACCCGGAGAAGCCAGACTGAGCTGTTTCAAGCAGGGCTGGGAAATAGCAGGGGTCAGATATGCTCAGAAAGTCAAATGTGGGGGGATTGTTCTTCAGAGGTTTTGAACCTGTGCTGTTGGCTTGGGCTCAGAGGAAAGAGCGTTCTGCTTGAGATTTTGGCTGCCAGAAGTAGACATGGGCTATAGGTTTTGTTTTTTGTTTTTTTGGTCAGTGGCCTGATTGAGCAAAAGGCAGATTTGTATGTTTGGTCATTTTTAGACGAGACAAAATGTCTAGATCAGTGATCCCCAACCTTTTTTTGGCCATGCCCCACCTAAGCATCTCTAAAATCATGATGCCTCCCCCTACCATGACATATAATTCTTACGTTACTCAAATAGTGAACTTGTCAGATGTGGCTCCTTCAAAATTCACGAAAGGAAAACCTCAACTCCATTGGTTTAGAGAAAAGGTACTTTTACTGAATATGAAGTGGAAGCAGCGAAAGTAAAGCAAGATCTGAAACTAAAGGCGTGGAATTGTACATATCAAAGGTTTACCCAAGTCCCCCCCCCCCAATAACCCCAAGCCAAATGTCCCATCTCCAGCCTCCAAGGGTGTCATGTGGGGTGCATCTGTAGGTAGCTTCATCCATCTGGTATGCAGAGATGGTTGACCTTGACCAGACCTAAACAGGACCATTCAGGATGCACAGAAAGTGGTGAGAACAAAACTCCCTCCTCTCCCGGAGATATCACCTCCAGCATGATTCCCCTCCCAAATGCCGAAACCCCCTTCCTCCCCATTTACTATGGCAGATGATAGCAAGCAAAGCAATGTAGAGGCTGACAGAGCAGAGGAAGCCTAAAAAGCCATTTTCATTTTTTTTTGTCTTTTTTTTTTCTCTAGAAAAGTCCGTGGCGAAGCCAAGAAGTGCCGCAAAGTTTATGGCATCGAGCACCGAGATCAGTGGTGCACAGCCTGCCGGTGGAAAAAAGCATGCCAGAGATTTTTGGACTGAGAAGGATGTACCTGCATTCACACCCTTTTCTGGTGGGAAGTCTCAGAGGGCTCTCTCTCTTTCTCTCTCTCGCAGTTACCCAAGAGCAAAATAGCCAGATCTCTGTATTTTGGCCACATCCAGGGCTCTGTCGTCTTGGAAGCAATTCCTGGTGCTTTGGCAGAAATCTCGCGAGCCACGTGTTTATCCCAAGCTGTGTATAGTCTACATCTGCCAGGTTTTCTAACGTTCAGTGTTTTGTGGGAAAGCTTTTTCTACACGATTTCTTCTTCTTCTTTTTTTAAATGACAAATAACACAGCCTCCCTTTCTATCTGTAAATAAGGAGGACAAAGGAAAAAACAAAAGCTGATTGCTTGATCTATCTTACAGACTTGTTTCTAGGTGGGTCCAGGGACCAAAGACCTTTGATCTGTTCCCCGGTAGAGGGTGAGGTTGGCTGTGGAGTTGGATCAATGACTGCAATATGGAGGAGAGAAGCAACTGTTTCACCTCCCCTGAAGTCACATAACCATTTAGAGAGTGCAAAATGGAGGGACAGGAAGGGAACTCTTATGGATGAGGACAGTTGCTCTACTAATGGACACCCTGTTTCCCTGTTAATCCTCGGATGCCCGCACAGGAATTAGCCATTTGCATCCTTAATGAGCACTGCTTTTTATTTTGTTTTCTTTAGTGGCTGTTGGGAAACAGTCATTGCTTTAAATTGCAAGACCCCAAATTCCAAATAACCATGAAGTGGAAGGAACATAAAAATAATCTGGATTTTCTTAGCAAGTGTAAATCCCAAAACAAATGCATTCTGCAAGAGCCTTAGAACTATTGGCTGATGTAACTGTTGGTTTGAGATGCATCTTGAGCATCCCCAATGCAACTTTTATTACCCAGATACCATAGGAACATCACAATCTCCCCACTTCCACTCTACTATGTGGCAGTAAATTAAAGTTCTCCATGCTCCAAGCAAGAATCTGGGTCAGTCTTGGCTTTCCCAACAATGGGAATGTGCACATCACATTTGTACAACTGTGAATTCTTCTGTCTTCATTAATGGGCTCCCCAAACCAGACCTATCTTCCAGCGAAGAAATAAATGTTTAATTATTAATTGAGTTTCCCATGAATGGTAACGTGTTTGGACATTTTCATTTCTTTTTCTAATTATCGTACGTGCCAACAGGTAATGAGCAAAGTAGCAAAGCGCATAAAAACCCATGATTATGCTCTTCCTTCCTCTTCAAGGTCAGCCCACCTGGTGCCAGCAGTCTAAACCTTTGAACAACAAGTGAAGCAGCATTCCAAGTTTTGCATATGAGAAAGCCTGAGATGTTTTGTAGGGCATGCTGGTCCATGTTCAGTTTCTTGGAATGCCCATTTATTTTGCCCTGCCGCCCCATTCATTCTTTCCATCCCATCTTTCTGGATACTGAGTGATCCTAGATCCACAGTCTCGAGTCCCAGTCTCTCAGGATGTAGTTAGAAGAGAAAGAAATGGGAAATTGGGAGGGACACAAAGATATGCTGGAAATAGCACTTGAAGACAAGCCAACATTGTCTTAGAATTGATTGGGATTTGATGAGTACAATTTTCAAAGATACTTGAGTCATGTAAGAAAAAAATGAACATTTTACAATTTTTTTTTGAAGGGGGTGGTTTGAAATAATAACCAATAATTCCATCATTGTAAACTTGTATTTCCTTCATGATTGTCCTCAAAACCTGAAAAAATTGTAATAATCTATCTCCCCATCAGATTTCTGTCTGACTATTCTTGTTACAACTGAGTTTGGGTTAAACTACAGTGAGAGACGGTGGAATTGGAAATGGTTGCCTGCTTGTTACATACTTGTTTTGCCTTCACACTTAGTGTTGGTTGTATCATCTACACAAGGAACTGTGTAAATCCAAAGTATGTTAGCCAAGCTGTACAAATATTCCTTTCAATTTTCTGTGATTAGCATGTATATGTTAGGATTCATATAGACAAAATTCCTTGCAAATATTGTTCTTTCTCTCTCTATTTCTCTCTCTCTCTGGTTATCTGGTGGCATGAAGGTGGGCCAGGCAGGATCTCAGTAGGATGGGGGAATACAGTCCAATAAACCAAGTGTTAGATGGGTGTTGCAATGGGTGGTAGTTAGCCATATGCCATCAACATAATAGGCAGGGCTGAAACTTTGAGGTAATTGGGTATTTTAAGGAGTGTTATGGGTGCCTTGGCATCTGTTGGCCTAAGCCATGCATTTCTCTTCTTAAATTTCCCAAATCAATTAAAATGGATTTTAGCCCTGCCACGCAGGAGGGTGGGGGCTCTCAGGGCTGCAGATGACGTGTTGGAGGTGTGTGGAAGTTTACATTCAAAGTTGGCAAACTCAAAAATGCATGATCATAGGTGGTGCAATGCTGGCTTCAGTGGCAAGCCTAATTAGAAATCGATGGCTAGTTTCACCACGGAAGTCATTGTCATGCTATTAAAGAGCCATCAGTTTGGCTGATGGGGAAATCTGTTCCTCCATTTCGGAAGTCATGTGGCTTGGTTTGTTTTCATTTTGCAGAGGTAAAATGGCAACACCAACAGTAATGATAATGGAAATGGAAAATGAGATATATTGGTAGGTATTTACATTGTTTGGAAGTTGGTTCTCTGCCTCTTTTCTCCCCTTCCCCGAAGCGTTTTGATAATCATGAGCCATAAACTAAAGAGATAAACCTCTCTCTGTAAAATAGTAACTGAACTATATGTCCTGCAGAATTATAATTTCCTTATATAAAAATGTGAGCCCTTTTATCTTTCTTCGAGGGTACTTTTAAGGGATGGGTGGAAGAGTTTAAAAAGGAATTATGTATATTTTTGGTGCTTGTTGATTGCTTTTTTTTTTTTGTAATCTTGTGCATAATATTCACAGTACGTCAGATTTTATTTTTCTAGCCTGGACATTGGATAGATGCTTAACTGATCTTGTAATTAGTTACAAATTAATTTGTACAAATTGCAAATTAATTTTTTGAAAATTAAAATCGGAATCAGATTTATATAGTGCAAATTCTGAATAGGGAATTTGGGAATATTAAAGTTCAGATAAGAGGTATTACAATTGAAGCGTCATGTTTATCATAAAATGTGGGATTTTAAAAATGCATTGCTTGGGTCACGATAGTCTGATTTCTGTGAAAATGTCTTGGAACTTAAAAAATAACGAGGAACTTGGCTTTGAAAATCATGCTCCATGCCAAAATACTAATGAAAATTTGGGGTGGGAGGAATTCCTAGATGAAACATTAGTTTTAGCTTCAGGAGAAACCTCAAATCTTGTCCTCCCCATTCGAGATACATTTCTCTCACTTCTGTAGCTCTGGTTCAGTGAGTTCTTGGGAAACATTGAAAGGCGTTGATCCCCTCCTTTCAATAAAAGCAGGGGTTGCTGAGCAGAAGCCCTTGGTCCTCAAAGATAAACTTGGCCCTTTAAAAACTACAAGTTCACCTCATCAAGGATGACCCATTACCAAGATATGAGTTTACTAGGATTAGTGAGTGGGGCACAAAAACACCAAAACTGTTGCAAGATGCAGGAGGGCCTTGACCTACCAGCCTGTTTCCTGTTACAGCTGTGGTGGGATTCAAATTGTTTTACTACCGGTTCTGTGGGTGTGGCATGGCGGGCGTGGCTTGGTGGGCGTGGCAGGGGAAGGTTACTGCAAAAATCCCCATTCCCTCCCCACTCCAGGGGAAGGATACTGTAAAATCTCCATTCCCTCCTGATCAGCTGGAACTCCAGAGGCAGAGAATAGGTGGAGGTGGGGCCAGTCAGATGTGGTATTTATCAGTTCTCTGAACTACTCAAAATTTCCACTACCAGTTCTCCAGAACTGGTCAGAATCTGCTGAATACCACCTCTGTGTTACAGCCAAGTCAACGTAATTGTTGCTGTGGACCAACCATTTTGGTGCAGTTATTTGAGTGATGGTCTCTGCTAAACAAAGCAGCCAGTTGTCATTACAGAGTCATGATTTAGCAAGTGGATGAATGGTCTGACTTAACCATCCAAGAAGATGGATGATGCTTTTTGGAGATTTGTGGCTGATGTTGCTCAAATTAGATTATTGACGCCATTGTCTCAGAACTCCTCTGCTCTCACAAATCGGCCAGATTTTCTTTTTCTTTTTTTGGCATCCATTCTTCCTCCTGACAAACTTCGCTGCTTCTTTCTGTCCCCGAATCCAGAATCTCTGGATTTCACCAATGAAAGTACATCATCTGTGACTTCCAAGCTACAGCCAGTAATGTTTGGAGGTTTGGGGCAGTGCAACTGCTTTTTCTTTCTGGACTAAATTGTAAAACATTAAAAAACTCGGGAGAGCTGATGGAGTTGATTCCTATAAATCCTCTTAATAAAAAGAGAAAATTAATATTAAAAATACATAAATGGGCAAGGACTTTGAAATTGGCCACTTTAATGATAGCAATGCATTGCTCTGATTATGCCTATCAGATACTCAAAGGAGGGTTTTGGCTGCTTTTCTGCAGCTGCCTTCCTTCAAGCTCTTAGTAACTCTCTGGGTGGCATGTCTTATATAGACTAAAGCGATAAGATGCAAAATTGCAAAGCCAATCTGTTGCAGGTTGATGATCTAACAAATAATTCTTAGTGGGAACCTGTGAATTTCAAAGCCATTTCTCCTCAAATTCCAAGACGAGCACGGCTCCAATTTGACACTGAAAATTGAGTATTGAGAACAAGGCTTGATTAAAATTCAGTCCCCCAAAGTAACATTAAAGTTTCTTTAAAATCCCAACATTTTTAACTGCTGCTTCTACTTTAGCCATCCTGGTATGGATGGATCCTTGTATCAGAGTAAAATTGTTTCTTTTCTGATTTAGGAGGGGAATCTCTCAGTTCCGTGTTGAATCAGGAGAGAGTAGTCAATGAGTATCTTCAGATTGAGATTTAAAGATCAGTTTCTTCAGTGGCAANCTGCTGGCGGGTCACAACACTTACTGATTCAAGTTCAGGCTCCGGATATGAAGTTCACTTTATTTGGAAGGCCCAGATCGGGGTTTTGAGGTTGGGCACATTTGAAACATTGAAAGGAGGTATCTATGCTTACAAAATGTTTGCTATGGTGTGCGCAGCTAGTCACAAAGCACTCATTTACCATAGTTGCAGGAGCTTCATGGTATCTCCTGTAGTTCCCCAGAATGGGTATTAGAATGCTTAGTTCTTTATTTTTGTGTGGGACTATTGGGCGCAATTCTAAACAAAATATGATATATTCATCCACTCCTTATGATCGTCCACGAGATTTGAAAATGCCAACTTTTCAATTGAGTTAAAAACGGAAGTGAAAACAGTGAATTAAAACTAAAATGAAGTTAACACCGAACTTAACTCAGTAGAGTTAAAATTGAAAATTTCAAGAAAGAAAAGGGGTAAGTGGGTTGGACGTAGGGAAATGCCATATGGGTTGTTTGCAAGCATATTATCTGCCCTTGAGATACTTGATTGTGTTCATCATTTTTTGAATCATCTTCTTTGCTGTGATGGGGTTATATTTATTGGGAATTCCTGGAAGACAGCACTTGTTCTGGTAGGCAGTCATTTATTTTTGGTTTTTTTGTGAGTTACAGAATATAATTTAGTCTGGATTTGAGCATTGCCAGCTATTTTCTCTGGCTTGAATGTAGTCTTGGTTACCTGGCTAGAAATGACAGAACCGTGTTTGATATTCGCTGTGTGGTTATGGGGCCCCCTTGCGGGGAGAATTGGTTATACTTTCCCCATCTTTTTAAATATCTTCTTTTGCTTTCAATGATCTTTAGTTCTGTTGAGCTTTGCTCCTTCAGTTAACTTTTCTCTCGTTGATTTGTTCTTTTAGCAGATGAATTATTTTAACAGTGCATAATACCAGAGAAGCTTAGAGGATAAAGTTATGAATGGAGTTAGATGAGAGTTTTGCAGTCCATAGAGGAAAGGTCTGCATTCACCAGTTAATTGTTCTGCTCCAAAAGCCTTGGCACCAAAAAGGGATCAAGTGAACCTGAAAAATTATTCCCATCTTGTTGTATCTGTTGCAGCAGATGGACTTAAGTCGAGCCGAGGTGGCGCAGTGGTTAAATGCAGCACTGCAGGCTACTTCAGCTGACTGCAGTTCTGCTGTTCAAATCTCACCGGCTCAGGGTTGACTCAGCCTTCCATCCTCCCGAGGTGGGTAAAATGAGGACCCGGATTGTTGTTGGGGGCAATATGCTGACTCTGTAAACCGCTTAGAGAGGGCTGAAAGCCGTATGAAGCGGTATATAAGTCTATCTGCTATTGCTATTGCTATTCTGCATTCTTGCCTTTGCTACTCTATGAGCAGAATGTTACCCTAAAAAAAAGGCTTTATGGGGATTCCATGAAATCGTTCTTGGTTCTGCTGACAAATGCAGAAGAACTTCAGAATTTGTCAGAAAATGTGTCTCCATCTCAGTGGACAAAGGAGGATTGGCAGAGCTGATGATTGAGATGGTAGAACTGGTGTTAACTTATCTACTTTGGGGTGGTGGATGTGAAAATTCACCAGATAAGATGTTGTTCTACTTTTACATTCAGGGACAAAACCCCTAGACCAGGGGTGTTAAACACGCAGCGTCACGTTGTCGTCATGTAATGTATTGTGACTTTTTCCCCTTCACTAAACCAGGGGTGGGCGTGGCCAGCGCGTGACACATCCGGCCTGTGGGCCACGAGTTTAATATCCCTGATCTAGATTGTTTCAGCTTTTGCAACAAAACACTGGAAAAGGTTACTTGGCAGTTACCTTATTTATTCTATATCTCCTTCTTTCATCATTCCCTGCAGAGATGGTGCCAACTCTGACCAGAGAAAACGAGAAGAGGATTTCTACTACACTGAGATGCAAGTGAAGGAGGAGGCACTTCCGGAATCATTAGTAGTTGCCCCTAATCCCACTGCAGGTTCCTCTCCTATTGTGATCCAACAGGCTGCCTCTCAGCCCGAGCCTCTCATTCTGGATCAGGCAACCCCCTTGGAGCCTCATCTGCCCAGCAGTGCCCTCAGCCAGTCGGCCCCCAGTTCTTTCTGGCACATCCAGGCTGACCATGCATACCAGGTAAGTCAATGCCCACCTGCGCCCCAGTGTTAAGAATCTGCATTCCTCCTGAAGGTGTTTGGAATTATCCTGTGGAATTATTCACCCTAATAAATAAAACCGCCCCTCAGTTAAATGATTGGGTAGTTAAGTGGCAGGATTGCAGTTCTGAGAGTAGTGGTAACAAGGAGGATGTTTGAGTTTCAAATAAAGAATAAGGTGAAAGGTAAAGGAGGTGGTGGCTCAGTGGCTAAGACACTGAGCTTGTCGATCAGAAAGGTCGGCAGTTCAGCGGTTCGAATCCCTAGTGCCATGTAATGGAGTGAGCTCCCCTTACTTGTCCCAGCTTCTGCCAACCTAGCAGTTCAAAAGCATGTAAAAATGCAAATAGAAAAATAGGAACCACCTTCGGTGGGAGGGTAACAGCATTCTGTGCGCCTTCAGCGTTTAGTCATGCCGGCCACATGACCATGGAGATGACTTCAGACAGAGCTGGCTCTTCGGCTTTGAAACAGAGATGAGCACCGCTGCCTAGAGTCAGGAATGACTAGCACATATGCACAGGAGGAACCTTTACCTTTAAATGCAATTACCTTTCTAAGCATTTGTATTCTTATTCTGTTCGCTTATACTTAGAGAGCGAAAGAATAATGCATTGTTAATGTGTTCATCCTGTAGAGAAGAGTAAGGGGATTGGGCATGGTTAGCCTAAAGAAAAGGAGGCTAAGGGGAAAACATGATAGCATATTTTTTTTCATACTTGAAGGCCTATCATGGGGAAGCAGGTATGGATATATTTTCCAAAGTGCCTTAGGGCAGGGCAAGAACCAGTGAAAGCACTACAGAGAGAGAGATTCAGCTTTGAAATAAGGAGTAGTTTCCTGTCTATGAGAGCTATTAAACAGTGGAACAGCATGAATCCTGGGGTCATGATTGCACCATCTTTAAGTTTTTTAAATAAATCCAAAAATAAATATTTTTTTAAGAATAAGTAAAAATAAATATTTTTTTAAGAATAAAAAAAAATAAAAATAAACCAAAAGCACCTGAGGGTAGAACAAGAAGCAAAGGGTGGAAACTAATCAAGGAGAGAAACAACCTAAAACTAAGGAGAAATTTTCTGACCATTAGAACTATTAATCAGTGGAGCAACTTGTCTCCAGAAGTTGTGGGTGCTTTAAGAAGATGTTGGACAACTGTATGAAATAGTATAGGGTTCCTACCTGAGCAAGAGTGTTGGACTAGAAGACCTCCAAAGCCCCTTCCAACTCTTGTTGTTCTGTTAAACATTGGACAGCTTTTTGTTGAGATGGTTGAGGAGTCTTGCACTGAGTAGGGGATTGTCTACTAGATTTCCAATGTCCTTTTTCCAACACTATGTTTTTCAAGTGAAAATTCACAGAATGTGAATATGAAAATGCTCTTCATATCTTAAGACAGCCATTTTTCTCTACTTAGGCTCTGCCATCTATTCAGATTCCTGTATCCCCGCACATATTCACCAGCATTAGCTGGGCTGCTGCAACCTCAACCATCCCCACTCTTTCACCGGTGAGTCTCACATCTTTATACTACTAAAACTCATCATGACTTTTCACTGGGTAAAGTGGTACATCACAGGGCAATATTTTTTGAATCAAGGAACCTCAAGTAGACTAACTTAAAAGTATGCATTCAAAATCTGGGATCTGTAACTCCTGATGGTGTGAAATTGGAGATAATTATGCCTGCGTCAGTGCTACTGGCTGCTGCTGCTGGGCTACTGCAGTCACATGATCTTCATCAATTTTCAACATTCTGTAACAGTTTCCCAGACAGTCTTGCAATCCCTTGCTCCCTCCCCCATCCAGTAGCAGTCACAAAACTGCCTGCTGGAAAAAGAGACCGGGGTGGGCAAGGAAAGAAGGATTCCCAAAAGGAATCTCAATGGGGAATTCAATAAGAGGTCAGGTGCGTTACTGCTCCCCTTGCTTTTTTGACTGCCCTTCATCATCATATTTTGATATGAAACATGTCTGAAATGACAACCCAATGGAACACTAATTTTATTTACCATATTTTTCAGTGTATAAGACACGCTCCCCCCCCAAAAAAAGTGGGTGGAAATGTCTGCGTCTTATACAGTAAATTTTGCCAAAGCTCCACCTACCCTCCAGCCCCCACCCGCTGGCCTCTGCCTCCCAGCAATTTGCCTCCTTGTAGCAAACAGGAAACAGCCTGGTCAGCTTCAGCACAGCCTGATTTAGCAAGAGCAACTGATTGGTGGTTGGATCTGCCTCCTGGAATACTGCCTATTAGCTGTTCCAGCCTATCGCTTCCTCTGTTTGCCCCATTTTTGGCCTCCATGCGTCCCGTTTTCAGCCTCTGCGTACCCCAGTTTTTGTCTCTGCACACCCCGGTTTTAGCCTATTCCAGGCAGTGGGGATTCCCGCCGTCTATCCCCGCCGCCTGGAATGGGTTGAAAATGAGACGCACGAAGGCAGTGATAGGTGGCAGTGGTGATGGGTGGCGATGGTGACGATGGGCGATGGCAATTCCCGCAGCCTGGAACAGCTGATAGACAGTATTCCGGGAGGCCTATCCAACTGCCAATCAGCTGCTTGTGCTAAATCAGGCTGTGCTGAAGCTGACCAGGCTGTTTGCTGCAAGGAGGCAAATTGCTGGGAGGCAGAGGCAGATTTTTTTTCTTGTTTTCCTCCCCAAAAGCTAGGTACATCTTATAGTCCAGAACTTTTTTGAACTTACAGTTCAAAAAATACGGTACTTACCCACTTATTTATTACTAAATTTATTTGCCGCCCATCTCATGTCAAATGACTCTAGAATATAGAAAGTTGTCTGGGTTATATACCTAAGAAGAGAATCTGGATTAGTTCAGAAGATTGTTTCAGAAATATATTAACATGTACTTGATGGGTGGCATATTCTGAGAAAGCTGTGGTTTTTTAAGATCCCTTTATGCATGATTATCTTACGAAATTCGCTACCACAAATTAAAAATAGATTTTCTTTTTTCTGTATGAGCTAACAGAAACGTTCAACTGCCTGTCAGCCTGAAAAAAAAAGTCCCCTCTCTCCCAAAACAAAGCATTTGTAAACAAAATGTTTCCAGAACATCCAATCCAATTTCCTTGACAGGAGGTTTTTAGTTTCAAAACTTTGAACTTTGGTTTGGTTTGGATTGAGAGAGAAAAACATAGAATTCAACTACACAGGGAGAATCTGTCAGTTAAAAGTATGATGCAGCGTTCGTCAAATAGTGTGATCCTTCCGTGGTCCGTAAAATGAGGACCCAGATTGTTGGGAGCAATATGCTGACTCTGCAAACTGCTTAGAGGGGCTGTAAAGCACTATGAAGCAGTATATGAGTTGAAGTGCTATTGCTATGGATGGAGGGGAGTCAGGCTGCAAATGTTTGGAAGGTGAAAAAGGAGATCTAATCCAATTGTCAAGTTATAGAAGCCTTGTGCAATTTGGAAAGTGTTGCCCAGAACTTCAGTTTTCAAATTCTCTGAATCTTGCAATTCTAAAGGGTTCTGAATTGGGAAAGGCAAATGGGAGAAAGGATCCTTCCAATAAAATGCCACTTCTTATTTCTTCTCTACATACCTACCTCTATATCCTAGCCCAATATTGGCAAACCTTTTCGGCACTGAGTGCCGAAAGGGGAGCATGTGTGTGCGTGTGTGCCAGAAAATGGAAGAGCATTCCACGGTGTGCATGGACGTGCCAGGAAGATGATCTTCCGGTTTCCGGTGCATTCATGGGCACCAGCAAGCTGGTCTTTGCGCACATATGTGCGCCACAAACCGGAAGACCAGGTGGCCAGTGCGCATGAGCGCAACAGAAACCAGAAGATCATCTTCCCAGTGCCCGCATGAAGATCAGTTGGCCAGAACCTGGAAGAGCAATGGGTGACCGCTCGCGTGCCGGGAGAGATGGTTCTGCATGCCAGTTCTGGGTGGCATATAGGTTATAGGTTCGCCATCACAGTCCTAGCCTCTGCATGGTAAAGACACATTTTACATGTAAAAGCAAACCTCCTTTTTCCACTCTCCAAACTGATTGCTTCCTCCTTATATAGCTGTGAAAAACTTAAATTTGTGGTTGGCTTTATTGGAAGGAGGCCTTTTAGGAGGATAGTGGCCAGTAGAAGACAAAATGGGAATTAAAGGGAATATCTGCATTGAGAAGCAGCATACCTCAAAAATAATAGCAGTTTGTGTTCTTCCCGGAAGTATCACCCTGAAAAAAAAGAATGCTGAACTAGATAAGAGTTTCTGTTATCCGGCAGGGCACCAGTTCTCTGGAAATTGATATTTTTATTTTGATATTTCTAAAGAAGAAAAGGCCGTAGAAGTATCGAAATAGGACATACCGTATTTTCACGACCAAAAGCCGCACCGGATTATAAGCCGCAGTATCAGTTAACGTTAATTTTTCAAACTTTTTTCATATATAAAGCGCACCGGGTTATAAGCCGCACGTTTTTTTTGCAACATCTGCCACTCCTCGCACTCCGCACTACATGATACACACACCCCCGCACCGTTCGTCCAGTAAGGTCGGGGAGGCGTTGGGCAGAATTGGGAGGGCGATTTTCAAAGAAGCGCACCAAATATCTCCCACGAACTGAATCTGAATCTCCCTCTTGATTTTACGCTCAAACTGGAAGCTCTCCCACACGAGGGAGGTGTGCGT